TGATCAAACTCCTTCTCATTTCCCAATCGGTTTCACATATGGTCGAAAGTCCCCTATCACAAAAATTCTTCTGAATGAGTTCTCCAAACCATGTTGTCTCCCTTATTCATGTCTCATAACACTCTTGTTTCTATCAGGTATTTTCATAATTTATAGTTTTATAATTATAAGATCCAGGGAATAGCCTATTAGGGGATGAAGACCACTAATTCAGACTCTACTTGTACACTTTATAATGTAAGCGATAATCTATTATTCTTTTGTTCTTAGAAAACTCATTGTCCAGAATAGTGCCATCTTTTTTTTTCTAAAGACGGCAGCATATGTAAATGAATTATCACTAAACTGAAATCTCCATGCCTTGTACTGCATAAATATGTATATAGACAGATTCTCCAAATCATAGTAAAGTCTGAAGATGATCAGCAGCAATAGTGTTTCTTTAGCCCATCCATAAATGCTTCAAGTCAACCTAGCAATCTGCAAATCTATACCCCAGTGAGACTGTAAGGCTTTACAAGGTGCTTATGATTCTGGGTGTGGTTGCTTTGGTTTTATTAGTTCCCCAAAAGCCTACAATTGGTGTCGTTATTTTAGGTCAGGGCAAAGATTGTGTTTGCTTGTATGTGCTTGTATGTTCCCAGTTCGAGGGTTTGCTGAGGCCGATTTTTCCTCAGACCATCCTAGAATTCTCTGTTTCAACCTATAATTTGCTTCATTAGGCTATTTTAAACATTAAGGAGGTTTCTTTTTAAATAGCATTTATTCACACAATTCCATGGGTTCAAAAAGACAGGGACAGTCATTATCTATGTTTAATGATAATAAAAATCACCTCAATCTGTATCAAAGTCAGCATTAGACATAATGGTGGAACCGTTACTTTAAGTCAAGCATGACAGTTTTACAATTACAATATGTGTTTAGTTTAAACTAATGCTGTCCCAAAAGGTAACAGAAATGCTACTGATGAGTAGCAAAGAATCTAGCTGCTAGTACACATCTCACCATTCAGCTAAAACACACACCTTTCTAGCTGCTAAAACTGTTTCTGTCCTTTTAGTTTCAACATAATTTTAAACATATCTAAAAAATCTCTGTTAGCAATTTCAATAAAACTGCTACTTGTTATTTATCTTCTCAAATACTCTCCTTGGAGTGTTCTTGAGTTTAATCTTTTTCTGAGCATAGCAAGTCTGCCATCTAGTGCTCTATGGCCACCTCTGGTACACTCATTTGACTTTTTTTTTTTTTTTTTAATCAAAAGATGTCATGTACTAAGTCCACAAATGCACATACATGCATGTATGCATAAACCCAGGCTACTTAGAAATTACACTGCCTGCTCTTGCTGACAGTTTGCATTACAATAGCACCCCATGTCTGTGTTTCTTCACTAGCATAATTTACACCACAATATGTGATACAAATATAATACCTGTGCTCATCTGCCTCAAAGATCTGATTGATGCATGGAGAAAAGGTAAAACCTGAGATTTCTTAAAAGAAAAAAAAAGCAGCAAAACAAAGTTATCTTCTGAATGTAACAGTATAGAATGACAAATATTAGGAAAGCCAATGATCTTCTATCCCAGTGCAGTTCTGCATTCATTCTCTTATTTGCTGAGGTTACCGTCACAGCATGGTACCCCAATACTGAATAGAATACTTGCAGAATATTAGACGCAATACCAGAGACACAAGGCCACAAAT